CAAGATGAAGTTTTACCATCCTCACTTCTAAGGAGCATTCTGGCTGTACTTCTTCTAAGATGTGTTTGTTCTTCTGACAAAATACTTGTCCCTTAGGCACTGTGCTACCAGAGCTCCTTAAAGTTCAGTAGGATTTATAAATCAATGTTTCATAGTTGGTTCATACTTCAAAAATGCCTCTTTATGCCAAGCACATCACAATCATGGATGGAAAGTAAATGACATGAAAATGCTCAAATACAAGATAAACTTCTCTATGAATCAGAAATATAGGTAACTCCATATTTGTTGATTCTGTATTTTTTACTTATAAAATTCAATGAAACCAATTACATTGATCATGTTGTACAACCATCACCAACATCCATTATGATATTTTTCATCCCCATACACAGAAACTAATGTTAACTAAACAAAATTCCCCTCTTTTACCTTCCCTCCCACCCCTGGTAACCACTGTTAAACTCTGATCTGTACACACTGGCCTATTCTAACTGCTTCATATTAGTGAGATCATAAAATATTTTTCTTGTGGTGATTGGCTTATTTTACTCAGCATAATGTTTTCAAGATTCCTTCATGTTGTATCCACATTATCAGGACTTCATTTATCTTCATGGCAGAGTAAAATTTCATTGTGGGTATATATCACATTTTAAGGAGCTCTGGTTGGAATACTGGGCAATCTGCTTCTGTAGGGATACTGCCTTGGAAACCCAAGGAGAGGTCACTATGAGTTGGGATCTACTCGACAGCGGTGAGTTTGGTTTGGTTTTTCTGGTGGTACAGTGGTTAAAGGATTTGACTGCTAATCAAAAGGCTGGTGGTTTGCATCCACCAATTGCTCTGTGGGGTAAAGATGAGGCAGTCTACTTGCCTAAAGATTTATGCTCTAGGAAATCCTATGGGGCAGTTCTACTATGTCCTATAAGACCACTAGTCAGCACTGAGTCAGAATTGACTCAATGGTAGTGGGTTTAGTTTGGTTTTATATACCACATTTTGTTTGCCCATTCATCTGTTGATGGCATTTAGTTTGTTTCTACCTCAAAAATTTAGAAAATATTTTTGAGTGCTCAGTAAAAGGATAAAACTAAAACATCAAACAATAATAATAAGGTATGTATATAGTTCAGTGAATGAAACATGCTAAGACCTTTATAGGAAGAAATAAAGCTAGAAAACACCAAAACTACAGACTGTACTTCTTAAAAATGGAGCAAAATATGTATATTCTAACTTTAAGAATAACTAATTAAAGACTGAAATACAGACGAGATAATAAAATAGAAAAGTTACCCATCCCAAACACATAAGAAATCTGTGTATTGTAAATAATGAAATGAATCAAAGAAAAAGGAGAGTAAAAGAAAACAAAATAAAATGTCATAAATTAAGTCCAACTATTTTAGAAATCACAATAAATCTAAACAAATTAAACTAATAATAAAAGAGATAATCACACTGAGCAAAAGTAATTCAGATATACAATGCTTTTAAAAGGTATACTAAAAAGTACATGGATAAGCTGAAATTAAAGGATAGAAAAAGATATACAAAAAAGCTAGGAAAGCAAAATTAGTGACAGACTAAAAAGAATTTGAGGAATAAAGAATTGATATAGGTAGAGAAGTCTACAGGAGCTCTAGTGGCTTAGTGCCTAAGGCATTTGACTGCTAACCAGAAGACTGGTAGTTTAAACCCACCAGCCACTCCTTGGAAGGATGGTTGGGCAATCTACTTCCATAGAGATACTGCCTCGGAAACCCAAGGAAGGGTTGTTATGAGTCAGATTGACTCAACAGCAGTGTGTTGCATTGCATTGTGTAAGGAAGCCTACAAAATAAAAATCAAAGGAACAGTATTCAAAGCAGATTTAATTGCAGTGATGTTGCATGGGCTTTAAAACACATAAAACAAGAAGTAACAAAAACAAAAGAAAAATTCGATAATTCCACAATTATATTGAGATATTTTAATAGTATAATTAAATTAAAAGTCTGCAATGAGTGTCCAAGGAATAAATTTAACAAAAATGTGTAAGATTGTTATTTAGAGAAGTATAAAACCTCACTGAGTAATATTAAAGAAAATCTAAATAATCAGAGAAGTAATGCATATTCTGGATGGAAAACTAATATTTTAAGGATGCTAATTCTTTTCAGGGAGCTCTGGTAGTGTAATGCCTAAGGCATTTGACTGCTAACCAGAAAGCTGGAGGTTCAAACCCACCAGCCACTCCTTGGAAGAAAGGTTGGGCAATCTACTTCCATAGTGACACTGTCTTGGAAACCCAAGGAGGGGTCGCTATGAGTTGGGTCCGACTTGATGGCACATAACAACGACAACAGCAACAATTCTCTCCAAATTTATTTATAGAGTCATGGCAATTTAAATACCCCTCTCCCCTAAAAAAGTTGATTTTTCAACAACTCTTCCTTGGTCAACTGATTAACCATATGGAAAAAATATATATTGATCTCATACCTCACACTAGTCTTCAAAGTGACATCTTTGCTCTTTAACACTTTAAAGAGGTCTTTTGCAGCAGATTTGCCCAGTGCAATACAACATCTGATTTCTTGACTCTTTGAAGACTAAGGTGCCCAACCTAAGCCATGGTATTTTTAATAGCTTCATATGTATATGAAAGTTGGACAATGCATAAGGAGACCAAAGAAGAGTTGACCATTTGAATTGTGGGATTTGAATTGATTCATTTGAATTGGATTGTAGACTGCCAGAAGAATGAACAAATCTGTCTTGAAAGAAGTACAACTGGAATGTTCCTAAGAAGTGAGAAAGGCCACACTTCATCTCGTGGACTTTGGTCATGTTGTCAGAAGGGACCAGTCCCTGGAGAAGGATATCATGCTTGGTAAAGCAGAGGGTTGGCAAGAAAGGGGAAGACTCTCAACAAGCTATGTTGACACAGTGGCTGTAAAAATGGGCTCAACATCAACAGATTGGATAAATGATATACTCTAAATATGTCGTTTTCAGGTGGCTTCAAGTCAAGTTCAACTCATAGCGAAGCCATATGACAGAGCAGAGGAAACCGTAGACTGCCCCATAGGATTTTCTAGGCTGTAATCTTTATGGAAGCAAATCATCAGATCTTTCTTCCACAAAGCTGCTTGGTGGGTTCAAACTCCCAACTGTTCCACAACCAGGGATCCTTATTTCAGCTATAAAACAAACAAACAACAACAAAAAAAAGCCAAACCTATTGCCATAGAGTCAGTTTCAACTCATAATGACCCTACAGACAGTAGAAGTGCTCCAGAGGATCTCCAAGGCTGTAATCTTTATGGAAGCAGATTGCCACATTTCTCTTCCACAGATCAGCTGGTGAGTTCAAACTGCAAACCTTTCTGTTAACAGCTGAGAGCTTAACCACTGTACCACCAGGGCTCCAAATTCTAACTATACAGAAAATACACTACATCAATATATATGCATCTTAAAAACTGAATACTAAGCAAAGTATATACACAGGCAAAACTAAATAATACATTGATTAGGACTTTAAACACATGGTAATCTGTAAGGAAAACAAGACAATGATAAACACAAAGTTCAGGATAGAAGTTACCTTTGGGTGAGCAAAGAGAGAACTCTGAAGGGGACTGGTAGAATTCTTTATCTTGGCCCGGGGTGCTAGGAACGTGGATGTTCATAAGATCACTGTTCTTGCAATATCACACATATGTTTTCATACAGTCTTTTAAAGAATGCTATATTTTATATTTTTTAAGTTAATAGCTTAATAAAGATAAGAGATGCTATTAGTATCATATTTTGATAGGCAGTAATACCAGGTGTATTTAGTATTTTCAACTTGCCTTGCAACAAATATTCTTCTTTTCATTGTGTCCAGAGATAACCGTGTGGCTTTTTGAAGACTGTCTAGTAGCTGATGAGTGAAAAAAGCATAGACTTCTTTACATTCCTGTAACATGAAATCACATTAAATTTGGTATAAAAAGCTAACATCCTATTGTAAAAGTTAAGGAAAGGTTTATATATTGGAGGACATTTTCTTTGTTGGTTACCAGGGGTGGGAGGGGAGGGGAGGGAATGCTGTTA